TAGAATATGCATGGATGGACGGATGAATAATTAGAGTCACAGTCTCACAGACAGCAGCGTCCAACACGACGAACGTGTGGCCGTGGACGTCTCTCTCTGTGACCATGGAGGAAGACCTGTGGGATCGGGTGAGTTGTAGAATATGCATGGATGGACGGATGAATAATTAGAGTCACAGTCTCACAGACAGCAGCGTCCAACACGACGAACGTGTGGCCGTGGACGTCTCTCTCTGTGACCATGGAGGAAGACCTGTGGGATCGGGTGAGTTGTAGAATATGCATGGATGGACGGATGAATAATTAGAGTCACAGTCTCACAGACAGCAGCGTCCAACACGACGAACGTGTGGCCGTGGACGTCTCTCTCTGTGACCATGGAGGAAGACCTGTGGGATCGGGTGAGTTGTAGAATATGCATGGATGGACGGATGAATAATTAGAGTCACAGTCTCACAGACAGCAGCGTCCAACACGACGAACGTGTGGCCGTGGACGTCTCTCTCTGTGACCATGGAGGAAGACCTGTGGGATCGGGTGAGTTGTAGAATATGCATGGATGGACGGATGAATAATTAGAGTCACAGTCTCACAGACAGCAGCGTCCAACACGACGAACGTGTGGCCGTGGACGTCTCTCTCTGTGACCATGGAGGAAGACCTGTGGGATCGGGTGAGTTGTAGAATATGCATGGATGGACGGATGAATAATTAGGGTCACAGTCTCACAGACAGCAGCGTCCAACACGACGAACGTGTGGCCGTGGACGTCTCTCTCTGTGACCATGGAGGAAGACCTGTGGGATCGGGTGAGTTGTAGAATATGCATGGATGGACGGATGAATAATTAGAGTCACAGTCTCACAGACAGCAGCGTCCAACACGACGAACGTGTGGCCGTGGACGTCTCTCTCTGTGACCATGGAGGAAGACCTGTGGGATCGGGTGAGTTGTAGAATATGCATGGATGGACGGATGAATAATTAGAGTCACAGTCTCACAGACAGCAGCGTCCAACACGACGAACGTGTGGCCGTGGACGTCTCTCTCTGTGACCATGGAGGAAGACCTGTGGGATCGGGTGAGTTGTAGAATATGCATGGATGGACGGATGAATAATTAGAGTCACAGTCTCACAGACAGCAGCGTCCAACACGACGAACGTGTGGCCGTGGACGTCTCTCTCTGTGACCATGGAGGAAGACCTGTGGGATCGGGTGAGTTGTAGAATATGCATGGATGGACGGATGAATAATTAGGGTCACAGTCTCACAGACAGCAGCGTCCAACACGACGAACGTGTGGCCGTGGACGTCTCTCTCTGTGACCATGGAGGAAGACCTGTGGGATCGGGTGAGTTGTAGAATATGCATGGATGGACGGATGAATAATTAGAGTCACAGTCTCACAGACAGCAGCGTCCAACACGACGAACGTGTGGCCGTGGACGTCTCTCTCTGTGACCATGGAGGAAGACCTGTGGGATCGGGTGAGTTGTAGAATATGCATGGATGGACGGATGAATAATTAGAGTCACAGTCTCACAGACAGCAGCGTCCAACACGACGAACGTGTGGCCGTGGACGTCTCTCTCTGTGACCATGGAGGAAGACCTGTGGGATCGGGTGAGTTGTAGAATATGCATGGATGGACGGATGAATAATTAGAGTCACAGTCTCACAGACAGCAGCGTCCAACACGACGAACGTGTGGCCGTGGACGTCTCTCTCTGTGACCATGGAGGAAGACCTGTGGGATCGGGTGAGTTGTAGAATATGCATGGATGGACGGATGAATAATTAGAGTCACAGTCTCACAGACAGCAGCGTCCAACACGACGAACGTGTGGCCGTGGACGTCTCTCTCTGTGACCATGGAGGAAGACCTGTGGGATCGGGTGAGTTGTAGAATATGCATGGATGGACGGATGAATAATTAGAGTCACAGTCTCACAGACAGCAGCGTCCAACACGACGAACGTGTGGCCGTGGACGTCTCTCTCTGTGACCATGGAGGAAGACCTGTGGGATCGGGTGAGTTGTAGAATATGCATGGATGGACGGATGAATAATTAGGGTCACAGTCTCACAGACAGCAGCGTCCAACACGACGAACGTGTGGCCGTGGACGTCTCTCTCTGTGACCATGGAGGAAGACCTGTGGGATCGGGTGAGTTGTAGAATATGCATGGATGGACGGATGAATAATTAGAGTCACAGTCTCACAGACAGCAGCGTCCAACACGACGAACGTGTGGCCGTGGACGTCTCTCTCTGTGACCATGGAGGAAGACCTGTGGGATCGGGTGAGTTGTAGAATATGCATGGATGGACGGATGAATAATTAGAGTCACAGTCTCACAGACAGCAGCGTCCAACACGACGAACGTGTTGCCGTGGACGTCTCTCTCTGTGACCATGGAGGAAGACCTGTGGGATCGGGTGAGTTGTAGAATATGCATGGATGGACGGATGAATAATTAGAGTCACAGTCTCACAGACAGCAGCGTCCAACACGACGAACGTGTGGCCGTGGACGTCTCTCTCTGTGACCATGGAGGAAGACCTGTGGGATCGGGTGAGTTGTAGAATATGCATGGATGGACGGATGAATAATTAGAGTCACAGTCTCACAGACAGCAGCGTCCAACACGACGAACGTGTGGCCGTGGACGTCTCTCTCTGTGACCATGGAGGAAGACCTGTGGGATCGGGTGAGTTGTAGAATATGCATGGATGGACGGATGAATAATTAGAGTCACAGTCTCACAGACAGCAGCGTCCAACACGACGAACGTGTGGCCGTGGACGTCTCTCTCTGTGACCATGGAGGAAGACCTGTGGGATCGGGTGAGTTGTAGAATATGCATGGATGGACGGATGAATAATTAGAGTCACAGTCTCACAGACAGCAGCGTCCAACACGACGAACGTGTGGCCGTGGACGTCTCTCTCTGTGACCATGGAGGAAGACCTGTGGGATCGGGTGAGTTGTAGAATATGCATGGATGGACGGATGAATAATTAGAGTCACAGTCTCACAGACAGCAGCGTCCAACACGACGAACGTGTGGCCGTGGACGTCTCTCTCTGTGACCATGGAGGAAGACCTGTGGGATCGGGTGAGTTGTAGAATATGCATGGATGGACGGATGAATAATTAGAGTCACAGTCTCACAGACAGCAGCGTCCAACACGACGAACGTGTGGCCGTGGACGTCTCTCTCTGTGACCATGGAGGAAGACCTGTGGGATCGGGTGAGTTGTAGAATATGCATGGATGGACGGATGAATAATTAGAGTCACAGTCTCACAGACAGCAGCGTCCAACACGACGAACGTGTGGCCGTGGACGTCTCTCTCTGTGACCATGGAGGAAGACCTGTGGGATCGGGTGAGTTGTAGAATATGCATGGATGGACGGATGAATAATTAGAGTCACAGTCTCACAGACAGCAGCGTCCAACACGACGAACGTGTGGCCGTGGACGTCTCTCTCTGTGACCATGGAGGAAGACCTGTGGGATCGGGTGAGTTGTAGAATATGCATGGATGGACGGATGAATAATTAGGGTCACAGTCTCACAGACAGCAGCGTCCAACACGACGAACGTGTGGCCGTGGACGTCTCTCTCTGTGACCATGGAGGAAGACCTGTGGGATCGGGTGAGTTGTAGAATATGCATGGATGGACGGATGAATAATTAGGGTCACAGTCTCACAGACAGCAGCGTCCAACACGACGAACGTGTGGCCGTGGACGTCTCTCTCTGTGACCATGGAGGAAGACCTGTGGGATCGGGTGAGTTGTAGAATATGCATGGATGGACGGATGAATAATTAGAGTCACAGTCTCACAGACAGCAGCGTCCAACACGACGAACGTGTGGCCGTGGACGTCTCTCTCTGTGACCATGGAGGAAGACCTGTGGGATCGGGTGAGTTGTAGAATATGCATGGATGGACGGATGAATAATTAGAGTCACAGTCTCACAGACAGCAGCGTCCAACACGACGAACGTGTTGCCGTGGACGTCTCTCTCTGTGACCATGGAGGAAGACCTGTGGGATCGGGTGAGTTGTAGAATATGCATGGATGGACGGATGAATAATTAGAGTCACAGTCTCACAGACAGCAGCGTCCAACACGACGAACGTGTTGCCGTGGACGTCTCTCTCTGTGACCATGGAGGAAGACCTGTGGGATCGGGTGAGTTGTAGAATATGCATGGATGGACGGATGAATAATTAGAGTCACAGTCTCACAGACAGCAGCGTCCAACACGACGAACGTGTGGCCGTGGACGTCTCTCTCTGTGACCATGGAGGAAGACCTGTGGGATCGGGTGAGTTGTAGAATATGCATGGATGGACGGATGAATAATTAGAGTCACAGTCTCACAGACAGCAGCGTCCAACACGACGAACGTGTGGCCGTGGACGTCTCTCTCTGTGACCATGGAGGAAGACCTGTGGGATCGGGTGAGTTGTAGAATATGCATGGATGGACGGATGAATAATTAGAGTCACAGTCTCACAGACAGCAGCGTCCAACACGACGAACGTGTGGCCGTGGACGTCTCTCTCTGTGACCATGGAGGAAGACCTGTGGGATCGGGTGAGTTGTAGAATATGCATGGATGGACGGATGAATAATTAGAGTCACAGTCTCACAGACAGCAGCGTCCAACACGACGAACGTGTGGCCGTGGACGTCTCTCTCTGTGACCATGGAGGAAGACCTGTGGGATCGGGTGAGTTGTAGAATATGCATGGATGGACGGATGAATAATTAGAGTCACAGTCTCACAGACAGCAGCGTCCAACACGACGAACGTGTGGCCGTGGACGTCTCTCTCTGTGACCATGGAGGAAGACCTGTGGGATCGGGTGAGTTGTAGAATATGCATGGATGGACGGATGAATAATTAGAGTCACAGTCTCACAGACAGCAGCGTCCAACACGACGAACGTGTGGCCGTGGACGTCTCTCTCTGTGACCATGGAGGAAGACCTCTGGGACTGGGTGAGTGAGGGAGCACTACGGAGGGAGCACCAGGCAGCACTGCAGGCAGGGGCACAGCAGCATTATAGGAACCTCACGTCCTCCACTAGGCTTTCGACGAGGGCCATGATGACATGTACTCGCGCGCCCACCTCATGATGCCTTCTTTATCTGGCCCCTCTGTTCGTATTTTCCCATGCATTCCCTCTCTCCCATGTGCGTGCAGCGTGACTTTACCGGCATTCCCCCTCCACCGCTGGGCTTTGACGAGGGCCGGGACGACATGTACTCGCGTGCTCACCTCGTCATGCCTCTCAGGGATTTCATCGAGCTGCCGTTGGCGTATGATGTGGTTCACAATGGAGCAACTTTCCAGGTACGTCAACCTCTTTGCACCGCACTGCACCACACCTCGTCATGCCTTTGAGGGATTTCATCGAGCTGCCCTTGTCACATGACGTGGTGCACAGTGGAGCCACCTTCCAGGTACTTGAACCTCTCTGCACCGCACTGCACTGCATTGAACACACCTCGTGATGCCTCTGAGGGATTCCCTCGAGTTGCCCTTGGCGCATAAGATGGGTCACAACAGAGATACCCTCCAAGTAACGCATTCTTGTGGGGCCCACACAACACCGCACAGCTCTTCTCCTTGTCACTGTTACAGCAATAACACACTTGGAACTCCCACGGATACTGTTTCCAAAGTTCATTACGAGCTGGTCAAGGCACCAAACTCTTGCTGTGCACTGGATCCGGAACGTTTTTCCAAGTCGCATTAACCAGCAAATTCACTTCCCCCCTTCTTCTCCCCTCTCCCCTCCTCTCCCCCAGCTCGCAGGCATCACCAACAACAGCGTGCTGCCTTCCCTGCTCTCACTCATGCTTGACCCCTCCTCTCCCCCCTCCCCCTTCCCCCTTCCCTCCTCCCCCCTGCCCCCTCCCCCCTTCTCTCCTTCTCCAGCTAGCGGGCATCACGAACAACAGCGTGCTGCCAGAGGCGAAGCTGCTGAGGCAGTGTGTGCTGCAGCACCCGGACCTTGGAGGGGCGATGCTGCCCTCCCTACCCTCAGTCAATCATAACCCCTTATCTCCCCTCTCCCCCTCTCTCGTCCCCCCTTCTCCACCCCCCACAGCTAGCGGGCATCACGAACAACAGTGTGCTGCCAGAAGCGAAGAGGCTGAGGCAGTGCGTGCTGCAGCACCCCGACCTGGGAGGGGAGATGCTCAAGCTCGCCAAGGTGGGGAGGGGTTGTAACCGGTTGAGTTAGCTTGGTGGAGGCCAACAGTTTAAGGCGATGTGTGTGTGTGGGCAGTGCGTGCCGCAGCACCCGGACCTGGGAGGGGAGATGCTCAAGCTCGCCAAGGTGGGTGACTTGGGAGGGTTGTGCCTGCAGCGCAGATCAGACAGGTGGGATGAGGACAGGAACGGGATGGGTGGCATTGACAGCAGCAGCTAGAGGCGAAGCGGCTGAGGCAGTGCGTGCTGCAGCACCCGGACCTGGGGGGAGAGATGCTGAAGCTCGCCAAGGTGGGTGGGGTGGGGGAGGGAGAGTGTTATGCTGTTCACATGGGATTGGACGTGCTAGGAAAGAAACGAGATGGGGGTTGCAGCTAGAGGTAGGGCGGCTGAGGTAGTGCGTGCTGCAGCACCCGGACCTGGGTGGGGAGATGCTGAAGCTGGCCAAGGTAGGGACTGGGGAAGGTTGTGCCTGCAGTGCAGATGAGACAGGTGGGATGGGGACAGGAACGGGATGGGTGGCATTGACAGCAGCAGCTGGAGGCGAGACCATTGAGGCAGTGTAACCTGCTGCAATGCAACGCCCCGACCTGGGGGGGGAGAGAGATGCTGAAGCTCGCCATGGTGGGTGGGAGAAGCAAGCGTGGTGGCCTAGGCCCCAGGGGTAGGGGTAGCCAGGCAGGCACGACGGGAGCACTTGGCGGTTGAGGCACGGCAGCACCCTCTGACCTGGGGGGGAGATGCTCAAGGTCGCCATGGTGGGTGGGGAAAGACTTTTGAGACGTCTCAAGGTCGCCATGGTGGGTGGGGAAAGACTTTTGAGACGTCTCAAGGTCGCCATGGTGGGTGGGGAAAGACTTTTGAGACGTCTCAAGGTCGCCATGGTGGGTGGGGAAAGACTTTTGAGACGTCTCAAGGTCGCCATGGTGGGTGGGGAAAGACTTTTGAGACGTCTCAAGGTCGCCATGGTGGGTGGGGAAAGACTTTTGAGACGTCTCAAGGTCGCCATGGTGGGTGGGGAAAGACTTTTGAGACGTCTCAAGGTTGCCATGGTGGGTGCGGAAAGACTTTTGAGACGTCTCAAGGTTGCCATGGTGGGTGGGGAAAGCATGAGGCATCTGCTCTGCTCTCCAATACATTGATTGATCCACCTGGGCTTCACTGCCCACATGAACCAGCCCACATGAACCAGCCCACTGAACCTGTATTCAACCATCTGTCTTCCATCCGCCCATGCTAACAGCTTCCATCTGCCTGCCCCATGTCACCATCTGCCCACCTCCTCCCCCACTCAGGTTCAAGTGGACGCGTTAACCCTTGGAGGAGTCAATCGAGCTGCTGCTGGCTGTGCTTCTACCACTGCCCTTTTCACCATCACCCCATATGCACCCAACCATCTCCTCTCCCGTGCAGGCACGCGTGGACGCATTGATTCATCTGGGCTTCACGGACCGCATGGAGGAGTCAATCGAGCTGCTGCTCGCTGTGCTCGACCGCTCCCTCTCCTCCCAGGCCTTCACCCTCCCTGGTGGGTTGGGATTTTAGACATCTCCCTGCCAAGAATATTTTTGTGGTCCACCACCGCTCCTTCTCCTCTCCTCCCAGGCCTTCACCCTCCCAGGTCAGCAATACTGACACACATTAAAGAGATCTCAGAAGCTCGCTCATATATGCTTCCATTCACTCACTGCACCATTCACCCTCTCATAAATGTTTGATGTCTTCCTCCTTTCCGCCCTCTTTCCCTCCCTCCCTGCCTGCAAGCTGCTAACCTTGCACATGCCCATGTGACCTCATCCCCACATGTCCTCATGACCACATGCCTTCTTCCCCACTTACTTCATGCCCCATGCCCCATGCCCCTGCCGCATGACCCATGCCCCATGCCCCTGCCCCATGACCCATGACCCATGCGCCATGCCCATGCCCCCATCCCCCCATGTTCCCATGCGAGCAGGCAAGAACCCCAGGGGGCGGTGCAAGAGGCCCAAGAAGAAGGCCAAGGAGAACGAGAGGCCGGTGAGTGCTCTCCTTGAGTCAGGCATTCCAATGAGTTATTGGTGTGGGTCAAATGCACACCTGTTATGAGACGAAACGAAACCAGTGGTTATTTTTTGAGACGTCCCAAAAACAGTTTGTTATCACGTCGTCTGGCATTCCGATGGGTTATTGGTGTGGGTCAGATGGACACCTGTTATGAGACGAAACCAGTGGTTGCACCTCTTCTCTGACCTGACTGACCCCATTGACCCCGTTGACCCCGTTGACCCAATTGACCCCTTTGACCTCTTTGACATCTTTGTCCCCATTGACTTCCTTGACCTTCGCACTCCCCCCCCACCAGTGGAAGAGCATCCTACGCGGAGTGTCTCAAGGACTAGATGGAGATCACACAGCTTGTTCCCTTATCCGCCTCCTTGCTCACTTGACTCATTGCACTTCCTTGACCCCGTGCACTGCACCCACTCCACTGCCACCCCACCAGTGGAAGAGCATCAGGGAGCAGTACGCGGAGTGCCTCAATGGAGCTCACTCAGTTGAACGAGCTCATTGCCTTCCGCACCCCGTTCATTGATCTCCTTGTCGACATTCACTCTCTACCCCCCTCCAGTGGAAGAGCATCCGGGAGCAGTACGCGGAGTGCCTCAAGGACCAGATGGAGCTTACTCAGCTGAATGAACTCATTGCCTTCCGCCACATGGGGCCGCTCAAGTTCTCAAGACAGGTACGCTGCTCTGAGAGCCTGGTACAACTGCTGTGAGAGCGAGGTACAAGGTACAACTTTAGCTCGTTGCAATCCGACTCTCTTTCCTCCTTTTTCCTTCCCATCCAACTATCACTAACTACCTCTCTCTTTTCTCCCTTCCCTCTCTATCTCACTGCACCATCACCATCACACCATCCCGTATCAGGAGCGCGTGCGCATACCAGCAGACGTTCTGAGGCGCATCAAGGAGCTGAATGCTCTTGACTTGGAGCTCACTCCATATCACTCCCTCTCTTTACCACACCCTTCCAACTGCCACAATGTCACCATCACCGTCACTGCCACCATTACTAACAGGAGCTCAACGTCTCTTTTCCTCTCTTTCCATACCACACCAGGAGCGGGCGCGCATACCAGAGGACGTGATGAGGCGCATCAAGGAGCTGAATGCTCTTGACCTGGAGCTCACTGAATATGCGCGAGACAAGTACACTCAGATGCTGGTAACTTCTTACTCTATATCTTCCACATGTGCATATCTATGTGTACATATACATAGTATATGTGCATATGAAGGTAAGTGGTTGTGCTAGTATGCATGTATCATCCAGCTCATCAGGGCTCAATTCTCTTCAGTGTAGCTCACCATGCATGCGGGCAGTACATAACTCTCAGCTGATGGTACCGCGTGTGCATGGTGGGTGGGTAACGCGAAAGAGAATTGAGTGCATGTCTACGTATTGTTGCGTACCTACCGTGTGTGTGTGCATGTGTGTGCATGTGTGTGCATGTGTGTGCATGTGTGTGCATGTGTGTGCATGTGTGTGCATGTGTGTGCATGTGTGTGCATGTGTGTGCATGTGTGTGCATGTGTGTGCATGTGTGTGCATGTGTGTGCATGTGTGTGTATCCCCACCTGTATGAATGGTATCAGAACAAGTACCGACCCATGATGGAAGCAGTCAGCAACCCATCCACCGACCGCTGCTGAAGCAGCTGTGCTTGTCTGCTTCAAAACACTCCTTCCTCCCTTTTGTGTGCCTGTCTGCATGTGTGTATGTGTTATATGTGCTGTATGAATGGCCATCAGGACAAGTACCGACCCATGATGGAAGCAGTGGGAAACCCATCCTCCGACCGCTGCTAAAGAACCCCCATGACGAAATTGTTGGGATCATGCGTTTATTTGGTACCCTTAGTAGACACATGGTATGCAGTGCTGTAGGGGTGTCTAACACATTGGTTGTGTCCCCTATCACACATTGGTTGTGTTGGGAGAATTTGCAGTCCCCCATATCCCTAAACCTTTGCTGGTTGGGGGAGATTCTTTAAGTTTGGATTGAGAGACATGGATTGCATTGTTGTTAAGCTTGATACCATTCCCAACCTCCTATATCATGTGCTTCATACTGATGTGCTTCATGTTGTTGTTGTGCTTGATGTTGATATCGAGCATTCTATTCACCTTGTCTTATCTAGTGTCAACTTAAAAAAAGGGGCATCTACAGTTTGAATTGATTTGGCAAACTTTGACCAAACCATATCACCTGGGGTTAGTTGTGTTCACACTGAAGCCCGAGCCCCGTTCATCAGCAGCACACTCACGCATGCACCAGAAATCGTTGTAGCCTGGACACTGTTGGCTAGACAATTGAGACTCTATTGATACTGGTACATCTCGTTCTTGTGTAAGCAATATGACACGTTGAACTTTGTAGCAATTAAACATTATGTACAGTACAACATGAGCTACCACCCCTCCTAAACCCTGAAGGCTGGAACATCTGGAATCTGATTCACTACGGAAGCCCCTCTGAGCATCGAATCAGATACTCCCGTGCCACGTCAGCAAGCTGCCCTCCAATCATCTTGTACCGCCTGATCTCGCCTGCTCAGATACATGGCCTGCGCCACGTCAGCAGCCAGCTGGTGCCGCCCGGAGAACACGCGTAGTGGTTTCATGTGCGTGCGGATGGTGAACAGTATCGCCCCCGTCCTGAAGGGGGTGGGGAGTGGCGGAGCGAGGGGAGAGGGGGGGAGTGGGAGGGTCAAGGGAAGAGTTAGTGGAACATGGATGAGAAATTGATTGGGGCGGGAGTAGTGGTTTCATGTGCGTGCGGATGGTGAAGAGTACCGGCCCCGTCCTTGAGCAAGTGCGGGTGGAGGAGAAGGGGGAAGGAGGTGGGGGGGATGGGGTGGGGAGCGGGGTGAAGGTGGGGGCATGGACGAGCAATATGTTCATGTGTGTGAGGGGCAGGGGGAAGGGTGGGGAAGGGTGGGGAATGGTGATCAGTACTGCCCAGGTGGTGAGGGGCAGGGGGGGGTGGGGAATGGTGATCAGTACAGCCCAGGTGGTGAGGGGCAGGGGGGAGGGTGTGGAAAGGGGGGAGGGGAGAGGGAGACAGGGGAAGGGGGAGGGAGGAGCAGGAGGTGGGATGGGGAGCGGAGGGGAGAGGAGGAGCAAGTGTGGGGCACCAACCATATCACTCCTTCTCCCATATGGTTGGTACCAAGAGTGAGTGCCGAGCGATCGAGTACCCTAAACCCCTGCCTCCCCCATCCCTTCCTCTTTTTCCTCACCCTTTTCCCGTTCCATTTCTTTCTCTTCCCCCCCTGCCTCTTCCTCTTTCCCCTTCACTGTATCCTCTCCCAACGTTCCCTTGTCCTCTTTCCCATCCTCATCTCTTTCTCGTTTCCCACCTCTTTTTCACCCCCACGCGCCTCTTCCTTTTCCCCTCCCGTCTCTTTCTCTTTTCCCGTATCTTCCGCTCCCCCTTCAGTCTCTTCTCTGCGCCGCCTTTGCGTACTGACTCCTTCCCCCAAATGAAGAGTACCACTCACTTGGGCAGGCGCACGAACGTCTCTCTCTCACTGCGAGTGAAGAACCTCCATCCAGCACTCTCCGCTGTTATCGCATCACCACCCTTCTCCTCTTGCTCCCCTTTTTGCCGCTGGTGGTGCTGCTGCTGCTCTTTTTGAGGCTTCTGTTCTGACAGCCCTGCTTTGGCCTGCACCAGTGAGGCATATGACGCCTGTAGCACGCACACACCCCAGTGGCAGCATGTGGGGGCAAGTGGGGGTAAGAGGGGACAGCAGTGGCAACAATGGCACCAACACGAGGAAAACAAGCACTCAGCAGCAGTGAAGAGTAATGAAGCACTCAGTTACCCTAACAAGACGGACTGCCACACATAGTTTTCAGTGGAGAACCTTTGTTTCACTCGACATAAAAAAAAAACACATAAAACACGCTGCTGAAAACATTTGTGAATGGAGAAAAGCCAACTCATAAGTGTGTGTTCAGTAACAAAACAAACCTCTGAAATCGGCCGGAACAGCCGCGGGTCGTCAGTTATCGTCCAATTGGAGCGAGCAAACGGGCTTCCCGGCTCCAGGTTGTTCAGAAATTTGTCAACTGCCCGAGAAATTGTCGACTCGTATAGAGGCACCGGCATGTGAATGTGAGCGGTGGGCAGCCCGAGTTTTTCGGGCAGAATCCAGCCGTTTGGGAAGAGAACAGCACCGGAGACTAGGCAGAGAAGGGGAGTGGGGGAAGAGGAAGAGGTGGAGGGAGAGGAAGAGGAAGTGGGGGAGGAGGAGGAAGGGCGAGGGAGCATGAGGCATACATCCTCCTGCAAGAAGGAGCAGATAAAAGATGACAGGGGGAACAAAGAGACAGCAACAAACGAGAAGGAATAATGAGAGTGAGATAAGCAGGAGGAAGGGAGAGAGAACATGAGGCACACATGAGGCACACATGAGGCACACATGAGGCACACATGAGGCACACATGAGGCACACATGAGGCACACATGAGGCACACATGAGGCACACATGAGGCACACATGAGGCACACATGAGGCACACATGAGGCACACATGAGGCACACATGAGGCACACATGAGGCACACATGAGGCACACATGAGGCACACATGAGGCACACATGAGGCACACATGAGGCACACATGAGGCACACATGAGGCACACATGAGGCACACATGAGGCACACATGAGGCACACATGAGGCACACATGAGGCACACATGAGGCACACATGAGGCACACATGAGGCACACATGAGGCACACATGAGGCACACATGAGGCACACATGAGGCACACATGAGGCACACATGAGGCACACATGAGGCACACATGAGGCACACATGAGGCACACATGAGGCACACATGAGGCACACATGAGGCACACATGAGGCACACATGAGGCACACATGAGGCACACATGAGGCACACATGAGGCACACATGAGGCACACATGAGGCACACATGAGGCACACATGAGGCACACATGAGGCACACATGAGGCACACATGAGGCACACATGAGGCACACATGAGGCACACATGAGGCACACATGAGGCACACATGAGGCACACATGAGGCACACATGAGGCACACATGAGGCACACATGAGGCACACATGAGGCACACATGAGGCACACATGAGGCACACATGAGGCACACATGAGGCACACATGAGGCACACATGAGGCACACATGAGGCACACATGAGGCACACATGAGGCACACATGAGGCACAACATGAGGCACACATGAGGCACACATGAGGCACACATGAGGCACACATGAGGCACACATGAGGCACACATGAGGCACACATGAGGCACACATGAGGCACACATGAGGCACACATGAGGCACACATGAGGCACACATGAGGCACACATGAGGCCACATGAGGCACACATGAGGCAACATGAGCACACATGAGGCACACATGAGGCACACATGAGGCACACATGAGGCACACATGAGGCACACATGAGGCACACATGAGGCACACATGAGGCACACATGAGGCACACATGAGGCACACATGAGGCACACATGAGGCACACATGAGGCACACATGAGGCACACATGAGGCACACATGAGGCACACATGAGGCACACATGAGGCACACATGAGGCACACATGAGGCACACATGAGGCACACATGAGGCACACATGAGGCACACATGAGGCACACATGAGGCACACATGAGGCACACATGAGGCACACATGAGGCACACATGAGGCACACATGAGGCACACATGAGGCACACATGAGGCACACATGAGGCACACATGAGGCACACATGAGGCACACATGAGGCACACATGAGGCACACATGAGGCACACATGAGGCACACATGAGGCACACATGAGGCACACATGAGGCACACATGAGGCACACATGAGGCACACATGAGGCACACATGAGGCACACATGAGGCACACATGAGGCACACATGAGGCACACATGAGGCACACATGAGGCACACATGAGGCACACATGAGGCACACATGAGGCACACATGAGGCACACATGAGGCACACATGAGGCACACATGAGGCACACATGAGGCACACATGAGGCACACATGAGGCACACATGAGGCACACATGAGGCACACATGAGGCACACATGAGGCACACATGAGGCACACATGAGGCACACATGAGGCACACATGAGGCACACATGAGGCACACATGAGGCACACATGAGGCACACATGAGGCACACATGAGGCACACATGAGGCACACATGAGGCACACATGAGGCACACATGAGGCACACATGAGGCACACATGAGGCACACATGAGGCACACATGAGGCACACATGAGGCACACATGAGGCACACATGAGGCACACATGAGGCACACATGAGGCACACATGAGGCACACATGAGGCACACATGAGGCACACATGAGGCACACATGAGGCACACATGAGGCACACATGAGGCACACATGAGGCACACATGAGGCACACATGAGGCACACATGAGGCACACATGAGGCACACATGAGGCACACATGAGGCACACATGAGGCACACATGAGGCACACATGAGGCACACATGAGGCACACATGAGGCACACATGAGGCACACATGAGGCACACATGAGGCACACATGAGGCACACATGAGGCACACATGAGGCACACATGAGGCACACATGAGGCACACATGAGGCACACATGAGGCACACATGAGGCACACATGAGGCACACATGAGGCACACATGAGGCACACATGAGGCACACATGAGGCACACATGAGGCACACATGAGGCACACATGAGGCACACATGAGGCACACATGAGGCACACATGAGGCACACATGAGGCACACATGAGGCACACATGAGGCACACATGAGGCACACATGAGGCACACATGAGGCACACATGAGGCACACATGAGGCACACATGAGGCACACATGAGGCACACATGAGGCACACATGAGGCACACATGAGGCACACATGAGGCACACATGAGGCACACATGAGGCACACATGAGGCACACATGAGGCACACATGAGGCACACATGAGGCACACATGAGGCACACATGAGGCACACATGAGGCACACATGAGGCACACATGAGGCACACATGAGGCACACATGAGGCACACATGAGGCACACATGAGGCACACATGAGGCACACATGAGGCACACATGAGGCACACATGAGGCACACATGAGGCACACATGAGGCACACATGAGGCACACATGAGGCACACATGAGGCACACATGAGGCACACATGAGGCACACATGAGGCACACATGAGGCACACATGAGGCACACATGAGGCACACATGAGGCACACATGAGGCACACATGAGGCACACATGAGGCACACATGAGGCACACATGAGGCACACATGAGGCACACATGAGGCACACATGAGGCACACATGAGGCACACATGAGGCACACATGAGGCACACATGAGGCACACATGAGGCACACATGAGGCACACATGAGGCACACATGAGGCACACATGAGGCACACATGAGGCACACATGAGGCACACATGAGGCACACATGAGGCACACATGAGGCACACATGAGGCACACATGAGGCACACATGAGGCACACATGAGGCACACATGAGGCACACATGAGGCACACATGAGGCACACATGAGGCACACATGAGGCACACATGAGGCACACATGAGGCACACATGAGGCACACATGAGGCACACATGAGGCACACATGAGGCACACATGAGGCACACATGAGGCACACATGAGGCACACATGAGGCACACATGAGGCACACATGAGGCACACATGAGGCACACATGAGGCACACATGAGGCACACATGAGGCACACATGAGGCACACATGAGGCACACATGAGGCACACATGAGGCACACATGAGGCACACATGAGGCACACATGAGGCACACATGAGGCACACATGAGGCACACATGAGGCACACATGAGGCACACATGAGGCACACATGAGGCACACATGAGGCACACATGAGGCACACATGAGGCACATGAGGCACAATGAGGCACACATGAGGCACACATGAGGCACACATGAGGCACACATGAGGCACACATGAGGCACACATGAGGCACACATGAGGCACACATGAGGCACACATGAGGCACACATGAGGCACACATGAGGCACACATGAGGCACACATGAGGCACACATGAGGCACACATGAGGCACACATGAGGCACACATGAGGCACACATGAGGCACACATGAGGCACACATGAGCACACATGAGGCACACATGAGGCACACATGAGGCACACATGAGGCACACATGAGGCACACATGAGGCACACATGAGGCACACATGAGGCACACATGAGGCACACATGAGGCACACATGAGGCACACATGAGGCACACATGAGGCACAACATGAGGCACACATGAGGCACACATGAGGCACACATGAGGCACACATGAGCACACATGAGGCACACATGAGGCACACCATGAGGCACACATGAGGCACACATGAGGCACACATGAGGCACACATGAGGCACACATGAGGCACACATGAGGCACACATGAGGCACACATGAGGCACACATGAGGCACACATGAGGCACACATGAGGCACACATGAGGCACACATGAGGCACACATGAGGCACACATGAGGCACACATGAGGCACACATGAGGCACACATGAGGCACACATGAGGCACACATGAGGCACACATGAGGCACACATGAGGCACACATGAGGCACACATGAGGCACACATGAGGCACACATGAGGCACACATGAGGCACACATGAGGCACACATGAGGCACACATGAGGCACACATGAGGCACACATGAGGCACACATGAGGCACACATGAGGCACACATGAGGCACACATGAGGCACACATGAGGCACACATGAGGCACACATGAGGCACACATGAGGCACACATGAGGCACACATGAGGCACACATGAGGCACACATGAGGCACACATGAGGCACACATGAGGCACACATGAGGCACACATGAGGCACACATGAGGCACACATGAGGCACACATGAGGCACACATGAGGCACACATGAGGCACACATGAGGCACACATGAGGCACACATGAGGCACACATGAGGCACACATGAGGCACACATGAGGCACACATGAGGCACACATGAGGCACACATGAGGCACACATGAGGCACACATGAGGCACACATGAGGCACACATGAGGCACACATGAGGCACACATGAGGCACACATGAGGCACACATGAGGCACACATGAGGCACACATGAGGCACACATGAGGCACACATGAGGCACACATGAGGCACACATGAGGCACACATGAGGCACACATGAGGCACACATGAGGCACACATGAGGCACACATGAGGCACACATGAGGCACACATGAGGCACACATGAGGCACACATGAGGCACACATGAGGCACACATGAGGCACACATGAGGCACACATGAGGCACACATGAGGCACACATGAGGCACACATGAGGCACACATGAGGCACACATGAGGCACACATGAGGCACACAGTGAGGCACACATGAGGCACACATGAGGCACACATGAGGCACACATGAGGCACACATGAGGCACACACTGAGGCACAATGAGGCACACATTGAGGCACACCATGACGGCACACATGAGGCACAACATGAGGCACACATGAGGCACACATGAGGCACACATGAGGCACACATGCGGCACCACATGAGGCACACACTGAGGCACACATTGAGGCACACATGAGGCACCACATGAGGCACACATGAGGCACACATGAGGCACACATGAGGCACACATGTAGGCACACATGAGGCCACACATTGAGGCACACATGAGGCACACATGAGGCACACATGAGGGCACCCATGAAGGCCACACATGAGGCACACATGAGGCACACATGAGGCACACATGAGGCACACATGAGGACAATGAGGCACACATGAGGCACCACATGAGGACACATGAGGCACACATGAGGGCACACATGAGGCACACATGAGGCACACATGAGGCACACATGAGGCACACATGAGGCACACATGAGGCACACATGAGGCACCACATGAGGCACACATTGAGGCACACATGAGGCACACATGAGGCACACATGAGGCAACTGAGGCACACATGAGGGCACACATTGAGGCACACATGAGCCACACATGAGGCACACATGAGGCACACATGAGGCACACTATGAGGCAACATGAGGCACACATGAGGCACACATGAGGCACACATGAGGCACACACACATGAGGCACACATGAGGCACACATGAGGCACACATGAGGCACACATGAGGCACACATGAGGCACCACATGAGGCACAACATGAGGCACACATGAGGCACACATGAGGCACACATGAGGCACACATGAGGCACACATGAGGCACACATGAGGCACACATGAGGCACACATGAGGCACACATTGAGGCACACATGAGGCACACATGAGGCACACAATGAGGCACACATGAGGCACACATGAGGCACACATGAGGCACACATGAGGCACACATGAGGGCACACATGAGGCACACATGAGGCACACATGAGGCACACATGAGGCACACATGAGGCACACATGAGGCACACATGAGGCAACATGAGGCACACATGAGGCACACATGAGGCACACATGAGGCACACATGAGGCACACATGAGGCACACATGAGGCACACATGAGGCACACATGAGGCACACATGAGGCACACATGAGGCACACATGAGGCACACATGAGGCACACATGAGGCACACATGAGGCACACATGAGGCACACATGAGGCACACATGAGGCACACATGAGGCACACATGAGGCACACATGAGGCACACATGAGGCACACATGAGGCACACATGAGGCACACATGAGGCACACATGAGGCACACATGAGGCACACATGAGGCACACATGAGGCACACATGAGGCACACATGAGGCACACATGAGGCACACATGAGGCACACATGAGGCACACATGAGGCACACATGAGGCACACATGAGGCACACATGAGGCACACATGAGGCACACATGAGGCACACATGAGGCACACATGAGGCACACATGAGGCACACATGAGGCACACATGAGGCACACATGAGGCACACATGAGGCACACATGAGGCACACATGAGGCACACATGAGGCACACATGAGGCACACATGAGGCACACATGAGGCACACATGAGGCACACATGAGGCACACATGAGGCACACATGAGGCACACATGAGGCACACATGAGGCACACATGAGGCACACATGAGGCACACATGAGGCACACATGAGGCACACATGAGGCACACATGAGGCACACATGAGGCACACATGAGGCACACATGAGGCACACATGAGGCACACATGAGGCACACATGAGGCACACATGAGGCACACATGAGGCACACATGAGGCACAACATGAGGCACATGAGGCACACATGAGGCACACATGAGGCACACATGAGGCACACATGAGGCACACATGAGGCACACATGAGGCACACATGAGGCACACATGAGGCACACAATGAGGCACACATGAGGCCACACATGAGGCACACATGAGGCACACATGAGGCACACATGAGGCACACATGAGGCACACATGAGGCACACATGAGGCACACATGAGGCACACATGAGGCACACATGAGGCACACATGAGGCACACATGAGGCACACATGAGGCACACATGAGGCACACATGAGGCACACATGAGGCACACATGAGGCACACATGAGGCACACATGAGGCACACATGAGGCACACATGAGGCACACATGAGGCACACATGAGGCACACATGAGGCACACATGAGGCACACATGAGGCACACATGAGGCACACATGAGGCACACATGAGGCACACATGAGGCACACATGAGGCACACATGAGGCACACATGAGGCACACATGAGGCACACATGAGGCACACATGAGGCACACATGAGGCACACATGAGGCACACATGAGGCACACATGAGGCACACATGAGGCACACATGAGGCACACATGAGGCACACATGAGGCACACATGAGGCACACATGAGGCACACATGAGGCACACATGAGGCACACATGAGGCACACATGAGGCACACATGAGGCACACATGAGGCACACATGAGGCACACATGAGGCACACATGAGGCACACATGAGGCACACATGAGGCACACATGAGGCACACATGAGGCACACATGAGGCACACATGAGGCACACATGAGGCACACATGAGGCACACATGAGGCACACATGAGGCACACATGAGGCACACATGCGGCCCCACATGAGGCAACATGAGGCACACATGAGGCACACATTGAGGCACACATGAGGCACACATGAGGCACACATGAGGCACACATGAGGCCCACCTGAGGCCCAACATGAGGCACACATGAGGCACACATGGGCACACATGAGGCACACATGAGGCACCCATGAGGCACACATGAGGCACACATGAGGCACACATGAGGCACACATGAGGCACACATGAGGCACACATGAGGCACACAATGAGGCACACATGAGGCACACACATGAGGCACACATGAGGCAACATGAGGCACACATGAGGCACACATGAGGCACACATGAGGCACACCTGAGGCACACATGAGGCACACATGAGGCACACATGAGGCACACATGAGGCACACATGAGGCACACATGAGGCACACATGAGGCACACATGAGGCACACATGAAGGCACACATGAGGCACACATGAGGCACACATGAGGCACACATGAGGCACACATGAGGCACACATGAGGCACACATGAGGCACACATGAGGCACACATGAGGCACACATGAGGCACACATGAGGCACACATGAGGCACACATGAGGCACACATGAGGCACACATGAGGCACACATGAGGCACACATGAGGCACACATGAGGCACACATGAGGCACACATGAGGCACACATGAGGCACACATGAGGCACACATGAGGCACACATGAGGCACACATGAGGCACACATGAGGCACACATGAGGCACACATGAGGCACACATGAGGCACACATGAGGCACACATGAGGCACACATGAGGCACACATGAGGCACACATGAGGCACACATGAGGCACACATGAGGCACACATGAGGCACACATGAGGCACACATGAGGCACACATGAGGCACACATGAGGCACACATGAGGCACACATGAGGCACACATGAGGCACACATGAGGCACACATGAGGCACACATGAGGCACACATGAGGCACACATGAGGCACACATGAGGCACACATGAGGCACACATGAGGCACACATGAGGCACACATGAGGCACACATGAGGCACACATGAGGCACACATGAGGCACACATGAGGCACACATGAGGCACACATGAGGCACACATGAGGCACACATGAGGCACACATGAGGCACACATGAGGCACACATGAGGCACACATGAGGCACACATGAGGCACACATGAGGCACACATGAGGCACACATGAGGCACACATGAGGCACACATGAGGCACACATGAGGCACACATGAGGCACACATGAGGCACACATGAGGCACACATGAGGCACACATGAGGCACACATGAGGCACACATGAGGCACACATGAGGCACACATGAGGCACACATGAGGCACACATGAGGCACACATGAGGCACACATGAGGCACACATGAGGCACACATGAGGCACACATGAGGCACACATGAGGCACACATGAGGCACACATGAGGCACACATGAGGCACACATGAGGCACACATGAGGCACACATGAGGCACACATGAGGCACACATGAGGCACACATGAGGCACACATGAGGCACACATGAGGCACACATGAGGCACACACACATGAGGCACACATGAGGCACACATGAGGCACACATGAGGCACACATGAGGCACACATGAGGCACACATGAGGCACACATGAGGCACACATGAGGCACACATGAGGCACACATGAGGCACACATGAGGCACACACACATGAGGCACACATGAGGCACACATGAGGCACACATGAGGCACACATGAGGCACACATGAGGCACACATGAGGCACACATGAGGCACACATGAGGCACACATGAGGCACACATGAGGCACACATGAGGCACACACACATGAGGCACACATGAGGCACACACACATGAGGCACACATGAGGCACACATGAGGCACACATGAGGCACACATGAGGCACACACACATGAGGCACACATGAGGCACACATGAGGCACACATGAGGCACACATGAGGCACACATGAGGCACACATGAGGCCACATGAGGCACACATGAGGCACACATGAGGCACACATGAGGCACACATGGAGGCACACATGAGGCACACATGAGGCACACATGAGGCACACATGAGGCACACATGAGGCACACATGAGGCACACATGAGGCACACATGAGGCACACATGAGGCACACATGAGGCACACATGAGGCACACATGAGGCACACATGAGGCACCACATGAGGCACACATGAGGCACACATGAGGCACACATGAGGCACCATGAGACACATGAGGCACACATGAGGCACACATAGGCACACATGAGGCACCATGAGGCCACATGAGGCACACATGAGGCACACATGAGGCACACATGAGGCACCACATGAGGAACACATGAGGCACACATGAGGCACACATGAGGCACACATGAGGCACACATGAGGCACACATGAGGCACACATGAGGCACACATGAGGCACACATGAGGCACACATGAGGCACACATGAGGCACACATGAGGCACACATGAGGCACACATGAGGCACACATGAGGCACACATGAGGCCACCACATGAGGCACACATGAGGCACACATGAGGCACACATGAGGCACACATGAGGCACACATGAGGCACACATGAGGCACACCTGAGGCACACATGAGGCACACATGAGGCCACACATGAGGCACACATGAGGCACACATGAGGCACACATGAGGCACACATGAGGCACACATGAGGCACACATGAGGCACACATGAGGCACACATGAGGCACCTACATGAGGGCACACATGAGGCACACATGAGGCACACATTGAGCACACATGAGGCACACATGAGGCACACATGAGGCCAACATGAGGCACACATGAGGCACACATGAGGCACACATGGAGGCACACATGAGGCACACATGAGGCACACATGAGGCACACATGAGGCACACATGAGGCACACATGAAGGCACCACATGAGGCACACATGAGGCACACATGAGGCACACATGATGGCACACATGAGGCACACATGAGGCACACATGAGGCACACATGAGGCACACATGAGGCACACATGAGGCACACATGAGGCACACATGAGGCACACATGAGGCACACATGAGGCACACATGAGGCACACATGAGGCACACATGAGGCACACATGAGGCACACATGAGGCACACATGAGGCACACATGAGGCACACATGAGGCACACATGAGGCACACATGAGGCACACATGAGGCACACATGAGGCACACATGAGGCACACATGAGGCACACATGAGGCACACATGAGGCACACATGAGGCACACATGAGGCACACATGAGGCACACATGAGGCACACATGAGGCACACATGAGGCACACATGAGGCACACATGAGGCACACATGAGGCACACATGAGGCACACATGAGGCACACATGAGGCACACATGAGGCACACATGAGGCACACATGAGGCACACATGAGGCACACATGAGGCACACATGAGGCACACATGAGGCACACATGAGGCACACATGAGGCACACATGAGGCACACATGAGGCACACATGAGGCACACATGAGGCACACATGAGGCACACATGAGGCACACATGAGGCACACATGAGGCACACATGAGGCACACATGAGGCACACATGAGGCACACATGAGGCACACATGAGGCACACATGAGGCACACATGAGGCACACATGAGGCACACATGAGGCACACATGAGGCACACATGAGGCACACATGAGGCACACATGAGGCACACATGAGGCACACATGAGGCACACATGAGGCACACATGAGGCACACATGAGGCACACATGAGGCACACATGAGGCACACATGAGGCACACATGAGGCACACATGAGGCACACATGAGGCACACATGAGGCACACATGAGGCACACATGAGGCACACATGAGGCACACATGAGGCACACATGAGGCACACATGAGGCACACATGAGGCACACATGAGGCACACATGAGGCACACATGAGGCACACATGAGGCACACATGAGGCACACATGAGGCACACATGAGGCACACATGAGGCACACATGAGGCACACATGAGGCACACATGAGGCACACATGAGGCACACCATGAGGCACACATGAGGCACACATGAGGCACACATGAGGCACACATGAGGCACACATGAGGCACACATGAGGCACACATGAGGCACACATGAGGCACACATGAGGCACACATGAGGCAACATGAGGCACACATGAGGCACACATGAGGCACACATGAGGCACACATGAGGCACACATGAGGCACACATGAGGCACACATGAGGCACACATGAGGCACACATGAGGCACACATGAGGCACACATGAGGCACACATGAGGCACACAATGAGGCACACATGAGGCACCACATGAGGCACACATGAGGCACACATGAGGCACACATGAGGCACACATGAGGCACCACATGAGGCACACATAGGCACACATGAGGCAACATGAGGCACACATGAGGCACACATGAAGGCACACATGAGGCACACATGAGGCACACATGAGCGCACACCATGAGGCACACATGAGGCACCACATGAGGGCACCACAATGAGGCACACATGAGGCCACACATGAGGCACACATGAGGCACACATGAGGCACCACATGAGGCACACATGAGGCACACATGAGGCACACATGAGGCACACATGAGGCACACATGAGGCACCACCATGAGGCACACATGAGGCACACATGAGGCACACATGAGGCACCATGAGGCACACATGAGGCACACATGAGGCACACTGAGGCACACATGAGGCACACATGAGGCACACATGAGGCACACATGAGGCACACACATGAGGCACACATGAGGCACACATGAGGCACACATGAGGCACACATGAGGCACACATGAGGCACACATGAGGCACACATGAGGCACACATAGGGCACACATGAGGCACACATGAGGCACACATGAGGCACACAATGAGGCACACATGAGGCACACACACATGAGGCACACATGAGGCACACATGAGGCACACATGAGGCACACTGAGGCCACCACATGAGGCACACATGAGGCACACATGAGGCACACATGAGGCACACATGAGGCACACATGAGGCACACATGAGGCACACATGAGGCACACATGAGGCACACATGAGGCACACATGAGGCACACCATGAGGCACACATGAGGCACACATGAGGCACACATGAGGCACACATGAGGCACACATGAGCACACATGAGGCACACATGAGGCACACATGAGGCACACATGAGGCACACATGAGGCACACATGAGGCACACATGAGGCACCACATGAGGCACACATGAGGCACACATGAGGGCACACATGAGGCACACATGAGGCACACATGGAGGCACACATGAGGCACACATGAGGCACACATGAGGCACACATGAGGCAAGACACATGAGGCACACATGAGGCACACATGAGGCACACATGAGGCACACATGAGGCACACATGAGGCACACATGAGGCACACATGAGGCACACATGAGGCACACATGAGGCACACATGAGGCACACATGAGGCACACATGAGGCACACATGAGGCACACATGAGGGCACACATGAGGCACCACATGAGGCACACATGAGGCACACATGAGGCACACATGAGGCACACATGAGGCACACATGAGGCACACATGAGGCACACATGAGGCCACACATGAGGCACACATGAGGCACACATGAGGCACACATGAGGCACACATGAGGCACACATGAGGCACACATGAGGCACACATGAGGCACACATGAGGCACACATGAGGCACACATGAGGCACACATGAGGCACACATGAGGCACACATGAGGCACACATGAGGCACACATGAGGCACACATGAGGCACACATGAGGCACACATGAGGCACACATGAGGCACACATGAGGCACACATGAGGCACACATGAGGCACACATGAGGCACACATGAGGCACACATGAGGCACACATGAGGCACACATGAGGCACACATGAGGCACACATGAGGCACACATGAGGCACACATGAGGCACACATGAGGCACACATGAGGCACACATGAGGCACACATGAGGCACACATGAGGCACACATGAGGCACACATGAGGCACACATGAGGCACACATGAGGCACACATGAGGCACACATGAGGCACACATGAGGCACACATGAGGCACACATGAGGCACACATGAGGCACACATGAGGCACACATGAGGCACACATGAGGCACACATGAGGCACACATGAGGCACACATGAGGCACACATGAGGCACACATGAGGCACACATGAGGCACACATGAGGCACACATGAGGCACACATGAGGCACACATGAGGCACACATGAGGCACACATGAGGCACACATGAGGCACACATGAGGCACACATGAGGCACACATGAGGCACACATGAGGCACACATGAGGCACACATGAGGCACACATGAGGCACACATGAGGCACACATGAGGCACACATGAGGCACACATGAGGCACACATGAGGCACACATGAGGCACACATGAGGCACACATGAGGCACACATGAGGCACACATGAGGCACACATGAGGCACACATGAGGCACACATGAGGCACACATGAGGCACACATGAGGCACACATGAGGCACACATGAGGCACACATGAGGCACACATGAGGCACACATGAGGCACACATGAGGCACACATGAGGCACACATGAGGCACACATGAGGCACACATGAGGCACACATGAGGCACACATGAGGCACACATGAGGCACACATGAGGCACACATGAGGCACACATGAGGCACACATGAGGCACACATGAGGCACACATGAGTGCACACATGAGCACACATGAGGCACACATGAGGCACACATGAGGCACACATGAGGCACACATGAGGCACACATGAGGCACACATGAGGCACACATGGAACACATGAGGCACACATGAGGCACACATGAGGCACACATGAGGCACACATGAGGCACACATGAGGCACACATGAGGCACACATGAGGCACACATGAGGCACACATGAGGCACCACATGAGGCACACATGAGGGCACACATGAGGCACACATGAGGCACACATGAGGCACACATGAGGCACACATGAGGCACACATGAGGCACACAGAGGCACACATGAGGCACCACATGAGGCACACATGAGGCACACATTGAGGCACACATGAGGCACACATGAGGCACACATGAGGCACACATGAGGCACACATGAGGCACACATGAGGCACACATGAGGCACACATGAGGCACACATGAGGCACACATGAGGCACACATTGAGGCACACATGAGGCACACATGAGGCACACATGAGGCACACATGAGGCACACATGAGGCACACATGAGGCACACATGAGGCACACATGAGGCACACATGAGGCACACATGAGGCACACATGAGGCACACATGAGGCACACATGAGGCACACATGAGGCACACATGAGGCACACATGAGGCACACATGAGGCACACATGAGGCACACATGAGGCACACATGAGGCACACATGAGGCACACATGAGGCACACATGAGGCACACATGAGGCACACATGAGGACACATGAGGCACACATGAGGCACACATGAGGCACACATGAGGCACACATGAGGCACACATGAGGCACACATGAGGCACACATGAGGCACACATGAGGCACACATGAGGCACACATGAGGCACACATGAGGCACACATGAGGCACACATGAGGCACACATGAGGCACACATGAGGCACACATGAGGCACACATGAGGCACACATGAGGCACACATGAGGCACACATGAGGCACACATGAGGCACACATGAGGCACACATGAGGCACACATGAGGCACACATGAGGCACACATGAGGCACACATGAGGCACACATGAGGCACACATGAGGCACACATGAGGCACACATGAGGCACACATGAGGCACACATGAGGCACACATGAGGCACACATGAGGCACACATGAGGCACACATGAGGCACACATGAGGCACACATGAGGCACACATGAGGCACACATGAGGCACACATGAGGCACACATGAGGCACACATGAGGCACACATGAGGCACACATGAGGCACACATGAGGCACACATGAGGCACACATGAGGCACACATGAGGCACACATGAGGCACACATGAGGCACACATGAGGCACACATGAGGCACACATGAGGCACACATGAGGCACACATGAGGCACACATGAGGCACACATGAGGCACACATGAGGCACACATGAGGCACACATGAGGCACACATGAGGCACACATGAGGCACACATGAGGCACACATGAGGCACACATGAGGCACACATGAGGCACACATGAGGCACACATGAGGCACACATGAGGCACACAGGAGGCACACATGAGGCACACATGAGGCACACATGAGGCACACATGAGGCACACATGAGGCACACATGAGGCACACTGAGGCACACATGAGGCACACATGAGGCACACATGAGGCACACATGAGGCACACATGAGGCACACATGAGGCACACATGAGGCACACATGAGGCACACATGAGGCACACATGAGGCACACATGAGGCACACAGAGGCACACATGAGGCACACATGAGGCACACATGAGGCACACATGAGGCACACATGAGGCACACATGAGGCACACATGAGGCACACATGAGGCACACATGAGGGCACACATGAGGCACACATGAGGCACACATGAGGCACACATGAGGCACACATGAGGCACACATGAGGCACACATGAGGCACACATGAGGCACACATGAGGCACACATGAGGCACACATGAGGCACACATGAGGCACACATGAGGCACACATGAGGCACACATGAGGCACACATGAGGCACACATGAGGCACACATGAGGCACACATGAGGCACACATGAGGCACACATGAGGCACACATGAGGCACACATGAGGCACACATGAGGCACACATGAGGCACACATGAGGCACACATGAGGCACACATGAGGCACACATGAGGCACACATGAGGCACACATGAGGCACACATGAGGCACACATGAGGCACACATGAGGCACACATGAGGCACACATGAGGCACACATGAGGCACACATGAGGCACACATGAGGCACACATGAGGCACACATGAGGCACACATGAGGCACACATGAGGCACACATGAGGCACACATGAGGCACACATGAGGCACACATGAGGCACACATGAGGCACACATGAGGCACACATGAGGCACACATGAGGCACACATGAGGCACACATGAGGCACACATGAGGCACACATGAGGCACACATGAGGCACACATGAGGCACACATGAGGCACACATGAGGCACACATGAGGCACACATGAGGCACACATGAGGCACACATGAGGCACACATGAGGCACACCATGAGGCACACATGAGGCACACATGAGGCACACATGAGGGCACTACATGAGGCACACATAGGCACACATGAGGCACACATGAGGCACACATGAGGCACACATGAGGCACACATGAGGCACACATGAGGCACACATGAGGCACACATGAGGCACACATGAGGCACACATGAGGCACACATGAGGCACACATGAGGCACACATGAGGCACACATGAGGCACACATGAGGCACACATGAGGCACCACATGAGGCACACATGAGGCACACATGAGGCACACATGAGGCACCATGAGGCACACATGAGGCACACATGAGGCACACATGAGGCACACATGAGGCCACACATGAGGGCACACATGAGGCAACACATAGGCACACATGAGGCACACATGAGGCACACATGAGGCACACATGAGGCACACATGAGGCACACATGAGGGACACATGAGGCACACATGAGGCACACATGAGGCACACATGAGGCACACATCCTCCTGCATGAAAGAGCAGGATGATGAAGAAACGGGGAGCAAAGAGAAAACGCCAAAAGAGGAGGTTTCATGAGGCGCCTCAGAAGGAGCAGGATGATGAAGACATGGGGAGATAAGAGACAACGCCAAAAGAGGAGGTAGTATGAAACATGCTCAGGAAGAGGAAGGGCGAGGGAGCACAAGGCAAACGTGCTCTCGCAAAAAAAGAGCAAAAATCTGAAGGCAAGGGAAGGCCACGCTCTTATCGAAGTCACCAACTAGTCATGACTCTTGGGTCACCAACTAGTCATGACTCTTGGGTCACCAACTAGTCATGACTTTTGGGTCACCAACTTGTCATCACCTGAATTAGTTGAACGATGACCTTTGGAGGGGGCTTTTGAGTCGACTCAAAAGTCACCTCTTATCGAAGTCACCTATTAATTGATGAATATAAACAATCACCTGTGTTGGTTGATGAATATAAACAATCACCTGTGTTGGTTGATGAATATAAACAATCACCTGTGTTGGTTGATGAATATAAACAATCACCTGTGTTGGTTGATGAATATAAACAATCACCTGTGTTGGTTGATGAATATAAACAATCACCTGTGTTGGTTGATGAATATAAACAATCACCTGTGTTGGTTGATGAATATAAACAATCACCTGTGTTGGTTGATGAATATAAACAATCACCTGTGTTGGTTGATGAATATAAACAATCACCTGTGTTGGTTGATGAATATAAACAATCACCTGTGTTGGTTGATGAATATAAACAATCACCTGTGTTGGTTGATGAATATAAACAATCACCTGTGTTGGTTGATGAATATAAACAATCACCTGTGTTGGTTGATGAATATAAACAATCACCTGTGTTGGTTGAGCGATGACCTCTGGAGGGTCCTGTGATGAATCCTACACTATAGGTACTCACTCATACATATAGCAGCCATTTTATACCATATCCACTGACACTATAGAAGGCATCAAACAATCACCTGTATGAGTTGAGCGATGACCTCTAGGGGGTCCTGTGATGAATTGACACTAGAGATTTCTCTAGTTGTATCGAATTCACTCTATAAAGGGCACCAGCCCATCATCACCTGTATGAGTTGAGCGATGACCTCTAGGGGGACCTGTGATGAATCTGACAAGTCGAATGAATCACCCGTGGCATGGTTGTGCAGACGATGGTGCGAGAGGGAGAAGCTGAGGGGAATGAGTGGAGGGAAAGGATAGAGGAGGAAGGGAGGTGCAGAGGAAGGGAGGGGTGGTATCAGTGAGTAGGCAGGTCGAACGAATCACCCGTAGCGTGGTTGTGCAGATGATGGTGCGAGAGGGAGAAACTGGGGGGGATGAGGGGACGGGAAGGAGAGGGAGGAGGGCTGTTGGCAGACAGTGAGCAGGCAGGTCGAATGGGGAGGGGGGGATCAGTGAACTACATACACAATTTGGAGTCACTGAAAAAAAAAAAAAAAAAAAAAAAAACACACACACACACACACACACACGATACCTACCTATCACGTACATGTGTGGGAATCGAGAAGGGAGAAAATCCGCCAGCATGTGTAATAACTCACACTCCGCCTCTCCCACCCTCTCCCCCTCCCACTCCTTCCCCTCCCTCCCTCACTCGCTCCCCCTCCCACTCCTTCCCTCCCTCCCTCACTCTTGCATGTTCCCACTCCCCTTCATCCCTTCCCCTGCATATCTCCGCGCTACCACCCCTCCCCCTCTCCCCCCCAACCCTGCCAATGACTGTGCTCCGGTGATTTGCTAGAATGGCCCTCCTTAAAGCCATCTCCTGCCGGTAGAAAGGGTCGATCTGAAGACACAAGCAGGGGAAGGTGGCGGGGAGGGAGGGTGTGGGGGGCGCGGGGGGGAGGGGAGAGGGGGGTGAAGGGTTGAGAGTAAGCTAGAATGTGTCAGCGTGGGTCAACGCACCTGTATCCAGTCAACCCTAGTCAACACGGGTCAACATGGGTCAACTGTATCCAGTCGCCCATCGCCATGGGCTGCACCCCCATAGCCATGCGGAAAGGAGTGGCAGATGCTCAAAGTGCCCTGCCAGCCAGTCAACACGGGTCAAAGTGGGTCAACGCAGGTCAACGCAACTGTATCCAGTCACGGATCGCCATGGGCTGGACCCCCACGGCCATGCGGAAAGGAGGCAGTGTTCAAATTGCCTTGTAAGCCAGATAACATTGGTCAACATGGGTCAATATGGGTCAACGTAGGTCAACGCACCTGTATCCAGTCGTGCATCGCCATGGGCTGCACCCCATGGCCATGCAGAAAGGAGCCACAGCTGTTCAAATTGCCTCGTGAGCAAGATAACACCGGTCAACGTGGGTCAACGCCAGTCAACACAAGTCAACGCACCTGTATCCAGTCGTGCATCGCCATGGGCTGCACCCCCATGGCCATGCGGAAAGGAGCCTTCAGTGGCAGATACTCAAAGTGCCCTGACAGTCATCGAGTAATGAAGGAGAGCGAGGGGATTGATGGAGAGAGAGAAATTGCTGAAGAAGCAGACTGGTTGGAAAAAATAAAATAAAAAAAATAAAAAAAAAACACCCTTTTTCAATTCTAAGAAGCTATCCCCTTGCTCCGATGAAACCTCCTTCATCCTCACTTAGGTCCCTCCTTCCATCCTCCCTCATCCCCATGAACAGAAGGTGTCCTCCCCATCCCTCAATCCCCCTTCCCAATCCCCCAAGCAAGAAAGGCACCGTCCCAATTTTTCTGTTTAGATCCAGCACCTGAGAATTATGACTGACCAGCACCTCATCTAATCCAAACAATTCCTCCCCTCCCCCCCCCCCGCACATCCGCCACCTTCCCCCCACCTTCCCCCATATCCCCGAATCTTCCCCATACCAAGCCGCGTTCCCCGCCCACATTCCCCCTTGCATCCATCCTCTCTCCCCCACATTCCCGCACTTGCCCCCAAACCTCTGTCTTTCTCCCCCTTGCCCACCGGGCTCCTCATAAACCTTCCACCTTTCCCCGCATTTCCCCCTAACCACCTACCTGGGCCTAAGGGGAACGGCGCAGAGGGGAGAGTGGAGGGCGCGGGGGAGGAGGGCGGGGGCGGGGAGGCGGAGAGCAGGGGGAGGAGGACGGGCGCAGGAAGCGGGTCGGATGGGGAAGTGGCGGAGGGAGACAGGGAGGAAGCGGGGAGCTTTTGTGAAGAGGCGGACGAATGGGGAGGAGTGGGGGAAAGGGACGGAAACGAAGGAGTGGAAGTCGTGGAGGAAGCGGGGAAAGCGGGGGAAGCGGCGGAAGCGGGGGAAGCGGAGGACGCGGGGGAAGAGGAGGAGGCGGGGAGGTGACGAGAAGAGGCAATGTGGGCAGACGCGGGGTGATTGTGAGTCGCGTCAGAAGAGGAACTAGCAGAGGAAGCTTCGTCGTTTAACGAGCACTGGCACTGCTGCATTTGATCGTTGATGCGCCGCTCACGCCGCTTCCGCCGCTCCCGTGCGGATCCCCCCCCTCCGTTATTCTGCCCATTGGTAACCTGCCATGTGGCGTCGTCGCGTCGCGCGAATCTCGCGAGTTCCGAGTTTCTGCACCGAGCATGCCTTTGTTTCACTGACGATTTGAAAGGGGATTCCGCCCGGCACGCATATTCCGACAACAATTGACCGAGGCGCGGCGTGAAAAGTGGAGAGAACGCGGAGAGCGCTGGCTGCGGAGGGGAAGAGGGCGTGAGGGGAGGCATGCACCTGCACTGGAAGGCACACGCGGCCTGCGCGGCGACTGGCGGAGCCATTTGGGGAAGATAGGGGAAGGGGAAGTGCACGCATGTGCAATATAATCCCAACACGAGTATCAAAATATCCTCCATGCAGAATGTGCTCCTCACATTCTTTTCGCAAATTCGTTCGCCGAGAAAAATTGTGGCTTATGTTACAACTAGTGTGTTCGGAGTAATGTGGATACAAGCGAGAGGAACTATGCGAGTGACGAGAACGGTAACTGTGATTTCGTCAACCTGGGATCTAGACTAGAGTCTCGTTCAGCACGTAACCTCACTGCACGCGCTTCGCATGGCAAATCGGATGTTCTGAGCTCTGTTCTGAAAGGCGTATTCTACCAGAGATTATGGTGCATCCTATCAGTTAGAGTAGCAGGTTACAGTTACTCTAATTCAGCGAATCTCGAGAACTTTCGCTTCACGCAAATTTGGGCCGGAACCTTGTTCTGAGTTAGGCTGAACAAATCCCACAGTTTGCACGAAAAAATGCGACGCTCGTCGTAATAGTGTTTGCAATAATAGAGCGTCGAGGTCCACTTGTTCGAAACGAAGTTACATCTGTACCTCAAAAATGAATCCAAGGCAGCAAATTTGGGAATAGAATTTCGAGCGTTCCTCGTGATAGAACAATCCCCCGTTCCACAACCTTCTTTTTCTTCGCGTCAGCACACCACGCGGAGCGCACCCCAGGGATTGACGGCATTCCCTGCGTTGCACGCCATTCCCCCTGCTCCTCCCCGCTGCGCGGCTTCCTCCGGATGGTACCTTCCGCTCCGCAACACACCCCCAATCATCCACAAGCTGCACCCCGTTCCGCGCGCCCTTGTACCATCCGTTCTCCCCCCCGCAACCCTCCCCAGTCCCCCTCTCCCATCTTCCCCTTTTCCCCTTCATTTTTGGCCCGCCTTCCTTTTGGTCCAGCATTTCTCCCCCTTCTCCCCCCCGTGCTTAGTGGGAGGCGCAGCGCACGTGCTGCAGCACAAATACTGAATGCATTTCCAACCTGTGCAAACATTTTCGAGCCCACTCGAGCAGCACTTGAACAATCCCTTGCATTTCCTATTAGAGCAGTCTCATCGCGCTTTTGTCGGGGTTCGTTCTTCTTCATTCCGCCTTTTCGCCTCTCTGGGAGATCGTCGTCGTGCTCTGCACTTCGTCCCTGCGTCTGGTTTTCGCGGAACCTAGGGCGTGTCGCGAAAATCACTGACACGGAAAATTAAGCTACTGGTTTTCACCGTGACGCCGCACACGGAACGAGACGAGCTTTGAGGCGCCTCAAAACTGTTTTTCACCGTGGCGCCGCAAGCGAAACTCCTAACAGGCGGAACTCAAAACACTTGCACTTTCGATTTCCGGGTTATCAATACGACTCGTTCTTCATGGCTATGGTATGGGCTGCTTCGTCCTCCTTCACGGTTTCAACATTTGTTCTTCTTGTGCTACTCTCCCAGCCTCTCATCGCCACTACTGCACTTCCTATTAACGCGTACAATGCACGAAACCAGCACGCGCTGGATTCACGAGCGCTCTCCGAAAATCCTTTGATTCTTAACAGCACGGATATCCAGTCACAAGCCGAATCACAAGCCATACTCGCTATAGAAGGAATCGCAAACAGTAGCAACGCTCCTACCAGAAGGGTTATGAAAGGGAGCGGGGGTGGCTCAGGAGGGGGAGGGCATGGGGGGAGTCACGGCGGCAGCAGTAGGGGCGGAAGCAGCAGGGGCAGCAGCAGAGGCAGCAGTCGCAGCAGCAGCCGGAGCAGCAGCAGGAGCGGTAGTAGCAGCAGCAGTAGCAGTCGCGGGGACACGGGTCGCGGCATCAGCATCTCAACGACTATTTATTTTCGCCGCACGACTTCAGGTCGCCGGCCTAAATCAACTTTAAGAGGCTTCAGGGCGCTCGTGTATCCCGTTAGCTACTATGAGGAGGACTATGAGTACGGTGACTACATTGAGCCATATGACTTCGACTATTTGGACGATAAGGCAGGGAGTAAGCAGGCTTTGGTAACAACACTCGGTGTGATTACATCGACTTTAGTGCTGTTTTATATGCTCGGATAGTTGTCGCGAAACCTTGGCAGTACACTTCATGTCCTTTGTATGGAAGTCTGATACAGTATTAATTGTTGTTTCTTCAGTAGAATGTTATTTGCTCCTCTCATGCATCCTGATTCCTGGCCTGCTGCCAATACCAGCATAATCAAATACAGATGTTCTATGGGCAAGGCTTTGAATTACCATGAGATGAGGTCTTGAATCAGCAACAAGCATATTCAATACTTTAAGAACCAATTCTAGCAAACAAGACACCAAGCCTTGAGCTGAAATACGCCCAAGACACACATCTTTCACCCCCCCTGTCCACCCTTATCCCTTAAACCAACAAACTGCTCCCACAAAAAAACAACCCCCAAACTGCCTACACAGCACACCACCCATCCAGCCATGGAGTCCCACTTCCCTCCCCTGCTCTGCCTGCTTCCCCTTTCTTTCACTGTCTGGCTCCACTCATGCCCCGCGGCTTGTCTTGTCTTACAGGGCACTCTGAGCGAGCCTACTACACCTGGTGGGGGGGGTTCAGTGGTCACACCCCCCCACCGACCACTGAGAAAGCTTTGCATGAAAAAAACCGCCTCCTCAGGGGAGTTATTAAAGACAAGGGTGCATGAGAGGGTGGATGGGAGTGAGTGGAGGGACGAGAGGATGGATGAGAAGATAGATAAAGAAGTTGTGAGAGAAATGTGAGCAAACGAGTTTCCAGGGATGAATGATAGTAACGCAAGAAGAGAGAGAGGGAGAGAGAGAGAGAGAGATAGAGAGAGATAGAGAGAGAGAGAGAGAGAGAGAGAGAGAGAGAGAGAGAGAGAGAGAGAGAAGAGGCCTCACAGCTCTCATAGGCTCATCCTGCAACCTGCACCACCTCTCCTCTAAGCTAAACCACCCCACACCATCTTGCCTGCCTTGTCCTTTCAGCAGCCTTACTACTCTCGCCACCCCTCCCCTCCACTGCTCCTGCTGCTGCTTCTCTTGCTGCCACTGCTGCTGCCACCCCGCACCTCTGCTGCTACCGTTACCGAGAGCTACCATCACTCCTGGCGCCTGCAGTGGTGCCAGTGGCACCGCCAGCAGCCGAGCCAGTAGTGAGGTGACTTTTGAGTCGACTCAAAAGTCACCTCACCCCGCCCCTGCTGCTGCCACAGTTACTGTGAGCTACCATCACTCCTGGCGCCTGCAGTGGTGCCAGTAGCACCGCCAGAAGCCGAGCCAGTAGTGGCAGCGGCTGTAGCAAAGCCTGCATCAGGGAGAGCTGCTGCTGCTGTTGCTGCGTGTGCCTGCTGCATCTCCCGGCGTATGGGATACTGCAGGGGCTGTCGCAGCAACGACTGACTTGCTCCTCCTGCTGCAGCTGCTCCTGACGCTGCTGCTGTCCTTGTCCCACCATGGCCATTACTCCCACTACCAACGCCAGCGCCACCACCACTGCCACCGCTGCTGCTGCCACTGCCCCCCCTGCTACTGCTGCTACTGCTCCTGCTGCTGCTGTTACTGCTGCTAGCAGCAGCAGCGGACGGGACAGCAGCGGACGAAGAGGGGGACGAGGAGCGAGGGGAGTGGCGCCGTGGGTGGGAGAAGAGGGAAAGGGACGAGGAGAGAGAGAGGGAGGGGGATGCCAGAGGCAACCCACCCCCGGATTGTGACAACACACGCGGTGACACTAGCGAGGGGCATCCGGCCCCGCGGGCAAGGCCGCTGGCACTGCTGCTGCCGCCGCCGCTGCTGCTACTGCTATTGCCACTGCCGCTGATGGCCAGCGACGGGAGATTGAACGAAAACGACCGGTGGTTACCACTGCTACCACCGTTACTACCGCTGATGCTAGGACCTGCTTGGTCCTCCGTACTGCTGCTAGCCCTTAGGCTCCTGGCGCTCCTGCTGCCGCCAAGGCTTAAATTACCACCACCTATACCCACATGCCCAGTACCAGACGTACCACCAGATCCAACGGCCGAGATGCTACCAGATTCTATGGTCGTGACGCTACCAGATCCAACGGCCGAGACGCTACCAGATCCAACGGTCGAGATGCTACTCCCAGCGGCACTCCTGCCGCTGCTGCTGCCACTCCCCCCTGCACCGCCACTGGCGCTAATACCAGCGCTCCTATTGCTTCCGCCTGCTAAGCTATGGCGGAAGGAAAGGCTCGAAGTGAGCAGACCTCCTCCCGTTGCAAGCACCCCTCCTTCGTTATTATCACCTTCGTTTAAGTAATACCCACCCAGGGTAGCACCTGCACTCATACTGCTGACAATTGCCTGGTTGTTTCCGTTGCCAGTACTCCCCCTCGCGCCCATATCCCCGCCTGTTGCCCCTCCGCCTGCACCTCCCCCTCCCCCTCCGCCGCCGCCTCCGCTGATCAGCCTGCGCAGGGATGTTGCCATCATCGCGAGGCGTGTGCGCGCGCCGCCGCTCCTGCTCATGCTACCCACCCCCCATCCTCCTCCCCCTGCGCCACCTGCGCCACCCCCCTGCGCGTGACCGCCGTCTAGTCCCCCGGCCCCCCCGCCTCCTCCGCCTCCCCCGCCCCCCATAGCCCCCAGAAACCGCATCCCCACGGCGGCTGCGGTCAACTCCTCCTCCGCGCCTCCCCCAACTCCGCCTGCTCCCCCGCCAATTGCGCCCGCACGCCCCAGCGCGTGAAGCCCGGGGAAGTCGCGCACTAAGCGCCCGCCGCCCAGCTGCTCCGCCGCTGCCGCGCCCTCCCCCCTGCGCCCTCCGCCATGTTCCCCCCCCGCGCCAGCCCCCCTGCGCCGCCCGCCGCCCAGCATCATCCCGTCAACCGGTTCCGCAATCACCACTCCGCCCGCGCCTCCCCCGGCCCCTCCGCCAGCTCCGTGCTCCCTATGCGCATGCGCGTGCGCGTGCGCGTGAGACGACGACGAAGCGGAACGCGTGCGCTCCTGCGTGATCGAGAGCGCCGGGCGCTGCTTCTGCAGGAAATCCAGCGACGACGGTGTAACATTCGAACACCGGCGAACCTTGAGCCGCTGTAGCGAAGGACACCCGTTCGCGAGCGCGATAATCCCGAGATCGGTAACCCGACTACACCCCTTCACGCACAGTCGCCTGAGCGACGGGCAGCCGTAAGCCAGACACGCCATTTCTAAATCCCCCATTGCGGAAGAAGAGCAGAGAGTTAATCGCTCCAGCCCGCGGCAATTAGTCGCGAGCGGTTTGAGACTAGCCGCGGTGCACGAGTGCGCCACGAGCACCAGCTCCTGCAAGTCGCGGCAGCAGCGCGCAATGGCGCCTAACCCCGTGTCGCCTATATGTCCCGGAGCCCACCCCTCGATGTGCAGCCGCCGCAGCCCCGTGCATCCCGCCGCGATCGCCGCCATGCCCGCGTCCGTGCAATCCGGCGTGCGGACGACTACGAGCGCCTCGAGCTTCGGGCAGCGCGCCACGGCTTGCAGACCGCGGTCCGTCAGCTGCAGCTTTTCCAGGTAGACCTGCGAGAGTTCGGGCAGGCGTTTCTGCCCGAGAGAAGATTCTAGCACGCGGTCCCAGTACCCGCCGTTGCGCGCGAGAATGAGCGTCTCGAGATTGCCGCACGCCTCGAGCAGGGGAGTCCAGATGGTCGAATTTGATTGGTCCTTGAGGCAGAGCCGGCGGAGTTTCAGGTTCGAGGGCGTGAGCGGCTCGAGCGCGCGATCCGCGGGGGGCTTCATGCTGCGCAGACAAAGGGGGAGACAGGCCGGAAGCAAGGGGGGGATGGGGGAGGGAGTGGCGCAGAACAGTGAGGATGGGAAGGCGGGCTTAATGCTGCGCGCGGAAACAGGGCGGAAGGAACGGCGGGATGGGGGAACAGGGGACAGGGGGGAGGGGCGAGTGGCGGAGGGCAGTGACGACGGTGAGGAGGAGAAATAACGGGGCAACGTCTCGCGTTGGCACTCCCACCCATCGCGAAAAATGCCACAGCGCATGACGAACACTGCAAAGTTTTGGTAACACACTTCGCCATTGCGCGTACCTTCGCTTGACCGTGAGGTCCTCCAGCAGGGGGCAGCCGCCCAGAAGCGCGTTGAGTCCACGCGTGCCGAACCCGCACCCGCCCACCGAAAACTTGCGCAGATGCGGGCACGCGCGGGTGAAGCGTTCCATGCCCTCGTCCGTCACCTGCACGGAGGAAAGGGGTGGGGGGAGGGATGGGAGGGGAAAGGTAGGGGGGACGGCAGGGAGAGGGGGGACTGCGCGGGTGAATCGCTTTATGGCCGGGGGAGGTGCGGAAAGCACAGGGAAGGGAGGCGACGAGAAAGCTGGGAAAGCTGGAAGCGGAAGAAGCATTTCAAAACGTCTAGAGTCAACAATAGGCCCTCCGCGCCCTCGCCCCTCCGCACCCTTGCCCCGCCGCACCCTTGCCCCGCCGCACCCTTGCCCTGCCGCACCCTTGCCCCACCGCCCCCTTGCCCCGCCGCCACTGCTTCGCGACTAGCGCGACCACGTGCACGCCCGTGACAAGCACGTGGTTGCCACGTGACCAACCTGCTTGCAATTCTTCAGCTTGAGCTTCCGCAGCAGCAGGCACTGCTCCGCCACGAGCGTGAGTGCCGCGTCGTCTACGCTCTGCACGTTGCGGTCGCATTTCAGCACGAGCTTCTGCACCGCACAGAACCGCTCCAGCAGCCGCGGGAGCTGCTGCGTCAGCTCCGTCGCCGCCCGTAACGACAGGTTCGGCCGAGACTCCGAGTCCGTACTGCAGTTTGGAAGCAAGAACGGGAAAAGGTATGGGAATAGGTTCGGGAGTAGGTTCAGAAAAAAGGTTCAGACGTAGGTTTGGAGGGTACTGGAGCCGGGCGAGTGAGCACGCCGCCAAGCGCCTCACCTCATCCATCTGCGACAGACGAGCGAACACGCCGCCAAGTCCGCAGACTTTGGAGGCGGCTCAAAACACGGTTGGTCGAGGCTAGGATAACGAGTGTCGAAACTAAGACTACAGACGTGCCTCACCTCATCCATCTCTGGCACACGAGCGAGCACGCCGCCAGGTCCGCCGCGTTCAGCTGCCGAAACACGGCCGCCAGGCAGTCGTCCGGCAGCAGCGAAATGAGGTTTTCCTCCGACGACGTCGACGACGACGCTGACGACGTCGCCGTGTCCGCGTGCGACGGGTTACCACCCGTGCGACTGTCGAGCTCCAGCGAACAGTTCGACGCGCTGTCCTCGTCTTCGGAGTGATCCGAAACGGGCTTCTGAACCAGCGCCATTGGCGGCGAGTCCTACCGCTGCCGCAAGAGAACAATAAACCCCTTTCACGAAGCTTCGAGACGTTTCAACGCTCGATTGGCGCGAAAACCCCCGCTCGGTTGAGCTCGGTTGAACGCACACCGAACGCGAAAGGCGTGAATAATCGAGTGCTGCTGCAGTAGATGAAGGCTCTGGAGCAAGGTGACTTTTGAGTCGACTCAAAAATACACGAGTGCTGCTGCGATAGATGAAGGCTCTGGAGTACGTAACTGGTGTACCTAACTGGTAACCAAGGCTGTAACCTTCAAGCGATACGCTCCAGCGAGGAACTGGAAAGCTTGATGCACCACGTCACTGTTCCGACTCTAGAAAAACTACGAGAAGAGGTAACTGCGACGGAAGAACTACGAGACGGCGGCGGTGATATTGGAGTCACTTCTTGTAGAACTCTCTGAGGGGACTAGGAGATAACGGCTTGAAGAAAGCGGCCATTGGAAATAGATTCTGCTAACTAATGTCCGTGACGGTTTAGGAGGAAAGAATCAACGTGCTAGTTATTCTTGTGACATGACCAGCACATGACCAGCACATGACCAGCACTAGATTCTCCTCTCTGGCTCTTCCCATCACGATTAGCAACAGGTAGTAGATATGGCTGAAACACGCGTAGCGTAGCATGGGCATATGAGCTTCAGCTGGCGATAGTTGCGGGAGGAAGATGAATCGGAGGGTGGGGGGGAGGCAGGAGGTTCGATCTGGGTGGGTGCAGCGGGTGCGGCAGCAGGCAGATCACCGAGGGAAAATCGGAGAGACACGGAAGGTTCAGGTTAGGAACTTGGGAGCTTGGGGAACAAGCACGAGGTTGGGGATGGGAGGCCATGGGGATTTGGAAGAGGTTGGTCGAGAAGCGAAGGACTACAGCGGCTGGTTTGGGATGGTAGGTTTGGTAAGGGAGGTTTGGGGGGTACGCTGGACCTTGGGAACTGGGGAAAGGAGAGTACAGACCGGTTTAGACCACAGTATGCTAGACCGTATCTGGCGGGTGACTTGGTCAGGAAGGACTCGGTTCGGGTCGCGCCCGCCGAGCCGACGAGTTGTGGTGTGGGCTGTGGTGGAGAGGCAGCCATGCTGGCAAGCTCAAATACTGTGTGGCGGTGGTGATTCGTCGTGATGATTGTGGGAGTGGGTGGCGATTTCAAGGCAGACTCTGGTCTGTATTGTAAGAATGGCAAATGTGTTACAAGAGGCAGCACACCAGAGGTAGCTCAGCTGGTTCACTGCGCTGGAGCATGTTTCCACACGGTTCAAAGCGGTACGCTACGAACGAGACAAAACAGTGGTATGTCACCTGAAAATGAACTTGCGGGGGCAGGGCTGTCGCTTGCAAGGCGTTTACCCTGATAGCCCTTGAATTCCAGGGCTAAGTTTTCCTCGAAACCTGAATTTGATGGGCTGCAAAATTTCTGGCCCTGTTTCATTACAGGGCTGATTTCGGGATCATTCCTGGTGTTTAAACGGTAGAATTTTGGTCAGTCCTGGAACAGAAACTATCGAAGCCCCTCCCCCTCCCCCCCATCCCCCCTAGCCTCACCTCTCCCCCGTTCCCCCGTTGTTCCCTACCGGCCGGCCTACCACCCGCTATTTCCTATCCTGGTTGCATCCAACCAGACAAGTTTGGAGTTCGCGGTTGGGCCAAAACTCCAACTCAACTCAACTCATATGTTCTGCTTGTGCCAATCAGTGCTTGTGTCCCTTACCACGGCATATGAATGGTGTTCAAACCTTCAGGCAATTCACTAGGCAGTACATAATAGAACCCGAAACTCAGGACTGCTCCTAGTGATGTTAAGCTCGATCAGCCTATGACTGTTAAGCTAGTGTATCTTGTAGAATGGGTAGAAGTGCAGAAGGTCTTATGTTGCCAGGGTTAGGAAGCCCGCTAAGCGTGTCTAGTAATCCTAAACAAAGTTGTGTTTGTAGGTGTAGTTGTCATCTGTGTAGTGGAAACGAGGCTACAGTTATCTGTTCCCTAACCCTGAAGCCGGGCTGAAATCGGCCCTGGACCTGCGAGATTCAGGATCGTACATGACGGGCCCCCTGATTTGTCCGGGTACCTCAAAACCAAATGACAGCCCTGTGCGGGCAAACCCTAACCAAATCTCGGGGTCATGGTGAAGCATTGCAAGTGCCCAATTTCAAAGGGTGACTGTGTGACGGACCAACAGGCCTGGTGAATGGAGACGGCGACGTGCGAATCTCAACGCCGGGTTTGGCGGTTTGGTGGGGTGGCTCGGCGCTCTTGGTTCGGAAGGATTCAGAGGTGCGGATTACGGTTTTTCTGGAGTGACACGACGTCTGGCGATGCTTCTCTCTGACTGGAAAACCGCGCAGCGAGGGGAGAGGTAAAGGATTGGATGCGACTGGTATGGGTGACAGTTGACGAGGCCTTGCGACAGAAGCGGCGGCGCAAGGAATTGTGTGATTCGCGGAGTGGCCCCCGGAGGTCAGGCTCATACGCGCGACGTAATCATCGTTGGACTTGCGTAGACCCAGTTTTCCATGGCTATGGGTAACAGGGTATTTCTATTATCTACGGATGGTGAAAACATGGGGGTAGAATTTGCCAATCTCCTTCACCCTAGAAGGGGTGTTGGATTGTAGATGTTGCAAAGCACAAAGTTGATCGTGCCAAGGATCACCTCAAGAGGAAGGTTCGCAGAGAGTGTGTTGCAGCGGAAGAATTTACCTCAGGTCAGAGTGAATTAAAAAAAAACTGAGATGATTAAAACAATGGCATATATAGGGTTATATAATAGTATAAAAGGAATGTGAAACGACCTAGACTATCCATGTACTCTTAAGGGGTACATTCTCTTATTGCAGCGAAAAGCAACCGTGCGACTCCGGACGATTACGAACCTGTTACCGACACAATCCTCGCCACTGCAACTGCCCGATGCATCTCCTTCGACGGTCTAGATGCTGCCTAACCGTTTGTGACTCTTCGCATCATCCCCGCTTTTCGCCTTATACTCTTCATTGTGTCCCTCTCGTGCTACTGTTAGGAGTGCATAATGTTTCACAATTCACTATTCGTAACACCCCCCTTCACTCCTGGCAGTAGCAAGTATTGACTCGCTTTACCACTCCGCTGAGTTCATATCAGAGTTTCTACTGCTGACGGGGCAGTCGCTTCGTGAGAATGTCGGCTGCCATGTCACTTGTCGGGCAATACGGCAAATCGACCTCGGCCTTATAAACTTTTTCATTGACGAATAAGTACCGCGGCGCGATGTGCTTGGTGCTGTTGATGAACCCTGGTTTGTTCGCGATCCTGACCGCGTTCTCGTTATCGGGGTGTAGACAAAAGATTGGCCAAGACGATTTTTTTCGCCTACTATAGGAGCTCTCGCAAATAAAGCCATTCACGAACTGTTGCCGTCGCGGCAATGAATTCATCTCTCGTCGATGACAGGGCAACCAGTTCTTGCTTCTGAGAATTCCAGGAGTTGCGCCTTGTTGGCTCGAGGCGGGAAACAAACCCTGTTCTGGACCGTCGATTGTCGGTGTCAGCAACGCGATCGGCACCCACGTAGCCGATGAGGTTGAAATAGGGGCTTGTGACCGTGGAGTATCAGAGCCCGATGTTGGGCGTGGAGATGAAAAATTCCAAGGCACGCTAAAGATCTAAGAGATTTTCAGCTGTTGGTTTGCGGGAGTACTGAGCCAGCTGGCTCGCGACGTACGAGAGGTCTGGCCTGCATGTCACTAAGGCACAGAGGAGACATCCCAGCTGCTGTTGGTAGGTGTGAAGACATGCGGGGGATATGGCTTTGTTGCAAGGTCTGTAGTTCGGTCCGAGTGTGCGGTAAGGAGTGGAGAGTGGTACAGGGGAGATGTTGAAGCGTTTCTCAAGTTTTTCAGCGTACTTGGCAGCTAAGAGATGAATATGCCAGCCTAATGAGTGAATACATTGAACAGAAAGTTGGTACGAGTACTAAACCTAATTGGGTTGTACCCCTTATGGGCTACCCCATTACAGCCTACACAATGTAAGCATTATACCATTTTGACACACCCCCATAGGCAAAGCGGGGGAGAACAAGTGGTCACAAGACCAGTCAAGAAAAGCAAAGCAAGCTCACAGTGGATCACGAAGTCACCACACATTCTGAGCACAAGCAAATGGCCACAAGGCCAGTTCACATGCAGAGTTATATAAAAGAGAACAAACAGTACAGTGATCATACCCTAGCAAGTATAAGCATGCAGGTATATATATAGATCACAGTACAAGCAAAGTCAAGCAATGAGCAAGTAAGGCAAACTAGGCACAAGGCCTAAAACAGTACAGAAACGATGATGATCACCAGACTGAAGTGCGTTGGTGAATATATCAGCAGTGTTGGCCCGAGTGGCCACGTAAGCAAGACGAAGCTGACCACGCTGCGGCAACTCTCGAGCAAGGAAGTAACGCAGATCGATGTGCTTCGCTCTGTGCTCCAGTCTGTGCTCCTGACACAAGGCAATCATGGCCTTGTTGTCTACGTACAAAACTGGGGACGAACGAGGCCGCTCTCCCAAGTCGGTCAGCTGGTAGGTGAGCCAGCGTAACTCCTGTGCAGCCATGGCCCTTACGTAGATCTCAACCTCACAACTGGAACCGAGAACAGAAGACGAGCGGGTAGACCGCCAAGAAATAGAGCCGGAGCCAAGGCTGAAGGTATAACCCTGTGACGACCACTGCGTAGCCAAGTCGTCAACCCAAGAAGCGTCTGCGTGTCCAGTGAGGACAACTGGACCCCGTCCTCCAAGCACGAGCCCCATGCCCGATGTACTGCACAAGTAGCGCAACACCCTCTTAGCGGCCTCCGAGTGCTCTGGTCGGTGTCTCCCGGGCACAACGTAGCGTGCCAGGATGCTAAGAGGGTAAGCAAGGTCAGGTCGAGTGCAGGTCATCAGGTACATGAGGCAGCCCACAAGCTCTGGATACGGACCACTCGGCTCTACGGACTCGTCT